TCCAAGTCTTCACAGTGAGAGGAATTAGGAATGGGTTTTGATTTTTAACTCCATCAAACAGCTGCCCTGGCTTCCTCCCTGACACCTGACAACTGCACTTGTGCTCTCACATTCTACCCAGAGTTCCATTGGGAATATTAATATAATAGCTAACATTAAGACAGTACTTTAAGGTTTGCTGAATGCTTTATATGGAAGAGCCCTTGGTACCTCCCAGCAGATCCTAGTTTTCCTTTGTTTATTAATGTGCACTGAGTTACTTTCATGTTATTTCCAAAGCATGATGGAGTAGAGCAAGGCCTGGAGTTGGAGTCAGGGGACTTTGGTTTGAATCCCAACTCTGCCACACAAATACTAACTTGTGCGGCCTTGGACAATTCACTTCTCTCTTGGCCTGGGTTTCTTCATCTGTCAAACTGAGGGGACTGTCCTGTATGATCTCTAAGGTATTTCCCAGTTTTAAGCCCCAAGATTCTGTGATCCACTAACATCCATGATAGAGCCCAGCTCAGCAGGTCTGGGGGCCCAGGCCCAGAGTTAAGGGCCATAACTAGGGAAGACATTCTCCTAGCTCTCTCCTACCCAAGGATGACATATTTCTTCTTCATCTCCCAGACCCTTGTGTGGACCACCATGATAGGAACTCCCTCCCCCAGCAGAGCTGTCTGGGCTTGAAGACTTTCCTAGAGAATGAGCACAAGTCCAAACAGCCAGGGTGGAAAGTGTGCCCCAACCCTGGGAAAGCTCTCAGTGCCCCAGGTGCAAAATGCAAATGAACGATTAGACAACAATTAATTGTCCTTTTAATAACACACTAGCCTGGCCATAAAACAAAGGCACTGCAGCAAGGGTAGGAGGGCAGCCTGCCTAATCTCCCTACCTGGACTCTTGGTCCCCAACTCCTTGGCAGTCCAGACTCAGTACTGGGACAGCCAACTCATTGGTGGGCCTACGGGAGAACATAGACCACAGCTGGAAACTGAATAATGGGCAGCTGAGGAGAAAGTTCTGTCTTTCACCCAACTTACCCACTCTTGTCCCAGTCCTTGATCTGAGACAAAATTTGTCATAGAAACTACCAGGCTCCCCACGAATAAGGCCAGGGTCCTAGCTCCTAGTAATGTGGCAGTTCCCTCCTTCCAGGGTTCCCTCTTTCCTCTATCCCCTCCTCTCCCATTTAAAAACCAGCAGCATGGAAGGTTTGGGGTTAGTTTGAGTTAGAAGGTAAATTATGTGGAATTTCTTTTCCATAGGAGTTACATAGTTTCCAGGCTGTTAGGCTGGGTCCCAGATCCTATTCACTGAAATGGAAATAATTTAGTCCCTAAGTGCCTTGTCTCTCAATCATCCTTCCAAGTCAAGGCTCTACTCGAAGTAGATAAAAGTTCACAGTTGCTCTTCTCTAGAAGCTCCACAAACTAGAAAGGCCTCAGGCCTAGAATGTGAGACTTGTTTGAAACACCCTGTTCCCCGGTTCCCCTTCTCCTTGACTAAGTCTATCTTTACCTTGGGGAAGTGCCATGTCTAAGTGCCCTTCAGGCCCCTCTACCATGGCCAAACTATGGAAGGAGGTTGGCACAGGGAACAAATCAATGCTTTACAATTCTGATGACTGGAATGACGAACTCTTCCATTTTTAGTGCGGTCAACAAAACAAGCATTTATTAAATGGCTACTGTGTGGAAAGGCACTGTGATAGGCAAGGGGATCTGAGACAAAGAGGACAAATGGTAGCTGCCCTCAGGAAGCCTACTTTGAACTAGGGGAAAACACATTTATAAACAGGCCAGTCAATAAAATGTAATTTGAGGAGGGCTAGGGCACTAACAGCTGGGGAGATCAGAAAAGGTTCCTTTCAGGAGGTAACACCTAAATTGAGCTTTGCAGAAAAAAAGCTAAGAATTCTGAGAGGTGGAGGTGAGGAGAGAAGGCAGGCATTTCAGTCATTAAGAGATAGCCTTTGTAAAGTCAAGGAGGAAGGAGACGAATGTTGAGTACGCCTGTTTGGCTGTAATACAGAGTGAGTTAAGGGGTGTAATGGGCAATCCATCTGCAATCAGAATATGAAGGGCTGAAAATGTGCATGAGTTTGTATTTTATCCTTCAGCAACAGGGATCCAGTGATGATTTGTGAGCTAGATATTGAGAGACAAGGTCAATTTTGGTAGCTGGGTGGAGTGGAGAGAGACTAGAAGGACAGAGATTCCTTTAGGAGGCATTTGAGAATAGGGCCTGAATTTGGGTGGTGTCTGTGTGAATGAAGAGAAGGGCACAGATATCAGAGATTTTGTGGAAGTAGAATCAATGAAACTTGGCAACTGATTAGATATGGAAGGGGGAGGGTCATCAGGAAGAGAGAAGACTATGGGATAACTTTAAGGGTTACAAACCTGGGTGATTGGAAAAATGGTGATACCCCAGCAGAAATAGAAATCTAGAAGGTGGGTGGGTTGAAGGGAAGAAAAATAATGAATTATATTTTAGAAAAGCTGAGTTTGAAATGCCAATGAGATATTCAGGGAGAGAAGTCTAGCAGGCAGTAGATGATATGGTACTAGAATTCAAGAGAGATTACAACTAAGTATATAGATTTTAATCAGTCAGTCAATATACATTTATTGGGGTAGCTAGGTGGCACAGTGGATAAAGCACCAGCCCTGGAGTCAGGAGGATCTGAGTTCAAATCCGGCCTCAGACACTTGACACTTACTAGCTGTGTGACCCTGGGCAAGTCACTTAACGCCATTGCCCAGCCCCCCCCCCAAACAATATACATTTATTTAGCACCTATTGGGGGGGGATACAAATAAAAAAAAAGACAGCCCTTACCCTCAAGGAACTGACAATCTAAAGGGAGAAGACAACACACAAAAGGAAGCTGAAAAGTAGGGTGGGAAGTGGGAGGTAGGGGAAAAAAGCAGAGAAGTCTTAAAGTATTAGAAGCCATCAGTACCCAGAAGATAATTGAACCTCTGGGAGGTAATGAGGTAAAGAGAAAGAATTAGAGATAAGATGGCCCAAGACCTCTGTCTTTGTGGAACATCCTTGGGTAGCAATGGGTAGGAGATAGATGATGAGACTGAGAAGGAGCAGGAGACCCAGGAGAGATCAGTGTCATGAAAGCCAGGGAGGTGAGAGTATTTAGGAAGAGGGGGGTTGCTGAGAAAAGTCTATTGTCAGTTTTAGCAATTAAAAGATTTTTGGTAATGCTGGAAAAGACAGCTACAGTGGTAGTATCTGAAGCTTAGCTTGACAGTCAGGGGTTAAGAAGGGAGTGAAGGTGAGAGAGCAGTGGTTATGAGTGTGGATAGCTTTTTCTGGTAGTCTGGCAGTGACAGGGAGGAGAGATCTAGGATAGCTCAAGCCAATGGCAGGGTCAAAAGAAGGTTTTTGAAGGGCAGGGAGTGACCTGTGCATGTTTGTAGGCTGAAGGGAAGTAGGCTGTGGATTAGGAGGGACTGAACCTCCCCCATCTCTTGCTCCCTCCATCTTCAGCTGAAGACTTAGACTCTTACTTCTTGGAGAAGACAGAGGCCATTTGCATTGAATTCCCCCCTTTTCTGCTTCACTTCTCAAAATTCCTTGATGTCATCCCTGAATCTCTTCCCTTTGCTCCATTTTCTTATGATAAGGCAGCCCTTTTCCTTGCCAAGATCAATTTCTACATATGCCCTTGATCTCTTCCCCTCTTGTCTTCTCCAGCAGATTGCTTCCTCAGTCATTCCCCTTTTTTCAATCTTCAATATCTCCCTAGCTTTTCCTGCTGCCTATAACCTGCCTTAGTCTCCCTCATTCTTAAAAAACTTCCCTTGGCTCTACCACCCCTGGATGTTACTATCCTATATATTAACTTCTTTTCACAGTCAAACCCCTAGGCTATACTCATTGACTTTACTTACTCTTCTCTGGGTGCAGCTAGATGGCTCAGTGGATAGAGGACCAGGCCAAGAGTCAGGAAGACCTGAGTTCAAATCTTATCTCAGACACTGACTAGCTATATGACCTGGGCAAATAACTTAACCCCTGGAGAAGGAAATGGCAAACCACTCCCGTATCTTTGCCAAGAAAACCCCACGAACAGAATGGCCCATGGGGTCACAAAGAGCAGGACATAACTGAACAACAACTACACTCTTTTCAGACTGCTCAATCTTTTATAATCTGGTTTCCAACATCACTTAAGTGAAACTGCCCTCTCCAAAGTTACCAATGAGCTCTTCATCGATAAATCCAACTGCCCTTTCTCAGTCCCCAACATCCTTGCCTTCCTCATTTCTGCTTGTTGGCTTCCCTGGCTTCTTCAAGTCCTGACTAAAATCCCATCTTCTACAAGAAGCTTTCTCATCTCTCTTTAATGCTAGTGCCTTTCCTCACAGATCACTCCCAAATTATCCTTTATCCTGTTTGGGTACAGTTGTTTGCATGTTGTCTCTCTCATTAGACTGTGAGCTTTTTGAGAGCAGGGTCTGTTTCTGCCTCTATTTGTATCCCCAGTGGTTAACATGGTGCCTGGCACATAGCTGGCACTTAATAATTGCTTGCTGACTCCAGATCAGGAAACCGAGATTAATAGGTTAATTGTTGAAGTATTAAAGTGTTCTCTGCTTCCTCAAACTTTCCTGGGGCATATTGTGTCCAGATCTTTCCTTTGTCCCCTTGACACTATACCTTGGATTGTGCTTATCTGTGTACATGTTGAAATCTTATTTTGTGCCTTGGTTTTCTCATCTGTAAAATGGTCATGAAAATACTTGTACTGCCTCGTAGAATTTTTGGAAAGCACTTTTAAACCACATACATGGTGCTTTCCCAGTAAGAATTGCACAAGCCTTTCCCCCAGGTTGTTTCTCCAGCCTTTGTGAGGGTCAATAACTGGCTAGATTGAGGCTGTTGACCATGGCAGCCCAGTAAGGCCAAGGAACTCAGAGGGAGTCAATTTCACATGGACCAAAAACAGAGTCTGTACCCAGGACACCATCCAAGGCTTGCTGTCTATTCACCTGCGTCGTCTTCCCCTGACAGGTAACCGCTGATCTTCATCAAGTGTTTCATCTTCTCTTTGGAGATCTTCAGGTATTTATCGCAGTTACACACCTAAGGAGACCAAGACAGAAGGGTTAGATGGGACTCCAAGTAAAACTTGTGAGGACTGTAGCTGGCAGACAAAGCTAAGGTTGAACCATCCACAAAACCACCTTGTCACTAGCAGTAGTCACTTCCTCTTTCTGGGCCTCAGTTTCCCTATCTGTAAAACAAGGAGAGGCTGGCTGAGAAAAGTCTTTATGACTTCTTCCAGCTTTAACAAGCTGTGATTCTATTTGAGTTCCTCTAAGGCTAAACAGATATCTATACTACTACAGCCAGTCCCCGGCTCCGTTAGATTGCTTCACTGTATTCCATCCCGTTCAATTCCCTTCCCTTTTACAAGTCAGAGGCCCCTTCTGTGTGCCCCCTGTATTGCTCTCTTTGAGCCAAGTGGGGGGATGATTCTCCAGCATGGTCTCTGTTCACAAAACCTCCATCAACTCCCTGTGCCGGCGCCCATCCTCCTGGCACTGCAGCCTGTCTTCAGGGCTCCACAGATTTAGTCACTACTTAGTGTAGGAGGTCAGGGTATGTAGGGGGTGAGTCATCTCAGGGGACCAGGCACAATGGCAACAGAGATAAAGTAGAGCAAGAGAGAATTGAGTAAGGAGACAGGCCATTCACACGCTGCATCACTGGTGCTCCTCAATGACACCACAGTCTGAGCTGGACCATAGTGGCATTCGAGTATGAGCAGAACACAGGCATACCCATTTTCCTGACTGTAATCTTTTTGTAGGTCAGAGCTCTGTCTGCGAGGAGCAGTCAGGGAATTAGCCAACAGGAGCGACTCAGGAAAGGAAATTCCCCACCAAGAGAGGGAGAAGGATTGAGAGAGCAGTGTGATCAGTATGATCAGACAGAAGAGGGAATGGCCTGGAGTGAGCCCTGCTGGTATCTTGTGCCTGTTATTTGAGCCTAGTTACTATGTGACCTGGAGATGCTGTTGCTTCTCTGTGGGCAGGGGGATAATGGGGATTTTAACAGGGGAGGAGTGGGAACCCTGGTGGCTGCCCATGGTGGGGCAGGGGGGGACGGGGTTGTGGGCCCTTGCTTCCCTGCCGCATCCTTCTCCCACAGGCCCTAAGAATTGCAGCATATATGATGTTGCTTCATTGTGTGACCATGTTAACAGTGGGACTTACTGATACAACTGACCACCCATGCACTCAGGGGCTGTGGCAGCTTTTTCAGGGGAGAGGGAGAAAGGCAGGGAGCAGCTGGGCTGTCACCTCTGGATTTCACCTTCTGGTTAGTGATTGAACAAGGACCTGCATTCTGTATGTGGGGGCCTGCACTAGGCACTATGTATTGCAGCCTTACCCTCACCTTCTGCTAGTACCTGCATCATTGTAACAAATTCGAGGGTCTGCCTTCTAATCCATTGTACACAGGTGTGATCACAGGGTTCCTAAATACTACTTTCAATTACGTCCCTTCCCTGTTTGGGACCCTAAGTGGCTCCTTGGTATTCTCTCTCCCCCACAGCTGCCAGGCCAGGGGGTTTGGTAGTCTTGCCCATGGTGTCTCAATTTGCCTATGGATCCTTTAGCTTGCTGGCAAGTCACTGCTAGGAACCAGACAGCCAAGCGTCCTTTGGCCCCAGCCTGCCTTTGTCTGAGAGGCATGGCTGGATCTCCCCCGGAAGCACTAAGCTGGCTGCTTCCAGACCCATGGCCTGTTGGTAGGTACACTGACGGGGGTACCCATAGCTGGTGAGGGAAAGCCAGATCTTCCATGCCTGAGCCCTCATCCCAACTCCCTGTTCCACTAAAAAGTTTGTTTTCCCCTGACCTGTCATGTTAAGATGAGGAGTGGGGGTGGGGAAGAAGGGGAAAGGGCCCTGAGAAGGAGGTGCTGATATAATTAACACCAAATTCATGGGAACATTCTTCTTTTTCTCATTAAGGATGATGACACAAAGCCTTTTCAGTGGAAAAATATTTGAAGGGGGCTGAGAGACACCTCCCAGCCCCATGGCCTGCCAGTGGCTATCCAGCCAATGGGGGGTGGGAAGTTTGTATCTGAATACAATATAGTTCAGGTGGCTAGACAGAGGTGGCTGATGAGGCAGAGCTGCCTGCACCCCCATCCTCTGTGCATGGCTTCATCCACAAAGAAGGAACCCAGCAGTAGAGTCAAAGCCAGACCATTTCTATCCTCCCTCCTTGGTCCTGCCATTCCTAGACCTCCTCCCCTGGTGACCTTCCTGGCATTGAAAGAGTTCCATAGGCAGAGCAGAGCAAGCAGCCAATCTAGCATTGTTTTGGCAGTAATGGTGGTAAATAAGAGCTAAGGAGAAAGGGGAACAGGGGCAGGGGGCCCTGATGTACAAAGAAGGGGATGGGGGAGCGAGGAGAGCTTCCAGCTCTGTCCTTTCACAACCCGCATCTCCGCTGCTGCAGGATGTACAGTCCCCTGGTCAGGCTGAAAGTCTCCAGCATGGCACGGCAGGCCAGAGGTGCCCTCATGGGCACTGCTTCTGCTCTGCTTCAGCCCTGACTCGATACTGGCCCAGGAGAGAGATCTAGCTATCATGTGCCAAGGGAGCATGCTCCTGGGGGAGGAGCCTCCGGTACCAGCTCATACTGAGTCACCAGGAGCTCCTAGACGAAATACTCATTGCCCATTCTGAAATGGATTGTGGCTCAGTCATCCCCACCCCTCGGGAATTACAGGTAGTGGTTTTCCCACGGCAGTGCCACTGTTGACCTGGGAGTGGGAACCAGCTGGTCCAGGGATGTTGGCTGGGGGACTGGGGTCAGCCTGGCCTCAGGTGACAGCACTGTGGGTTTGGGCCTGTACCAGCCAACTGGCAGCTGAGATCTCTTTCAAAAGCTTGAAAAGCAAGTTCTGTCCTGCTCAGAGACTTTAGAGGCTCTTTTCCTGATTTCCTCTTAACTTTCACATCTTGACCCTGCTGTGGGTGGTGGGAGAAGCCTTGTCTAAGGAGGGGTGCTGGGCCTGTTAGTGCAGCCTTGAAACTCACCTGGAGACTAGTGTGCCTATTTTTTTACCTATCAGTGTACACACCTAAACTGTTCTTCCCTTTGGCCGCTCAAGCCAGGAGGACCCACAAGGAGTCCCAAAGGATGTCTCACTTTGAGAACTTCTATGGGAGACTCCCCCACCTCCATTCCTTGCCTCCTATTTCCCTTGAAGTTGTTTCTCTCTATTTTCCCCATTCTCAATTCAGTGAACATTTCTAAAGCACCCATTATGTGAAAGGCACTGAGTGACCTCTTCAAACCTTTGCCTAGTCAGAATAGGTCAGAATAGGAACAGTTGCAAATGAAACATCACCGTTCCCTAGTTCCAAAGAAGAAACAAGGAAATGTCATTAGTGTTTGCAACCAGCAAATCCCATGCCAAAGGACAGTCAAAAGGTTTCTCCTTCCCCACCTGAGGTCTAGACTAGCAGTAGCCCAGAAGATGATTCTCACTTCAGTGAGAATGAGAAAGGGTGTAATTTCTCTAACAAGAAAGAATTCTGCACACTCTTGGAATAACTGCTTTACAAGAGTGGAAGTCACTATCTTCTATCTCAGCTACTCTACTGATCGATCAATCAATAAACATTTATTAAATGCCTACTATGTGTCAGGCACCGTGCTAAGTGCTGATCAGGAATGACAACAACAACTCATGTTTCTATAGTGCTTTAAGGTTTACAAAACATTTTTTTTCCTCACAAAAGCCTAGTGAATATAAACATAGTAATATCTCTATTTTACAGATGAGGAAAACAAGGCACAGAAAGGTAACGTGCCTAGGTCACAAAGCCATTCAATGTTATGGCTGGGATTTGAGTCTCGGTCTCCCAACTCCAAATTCAGTGCTTTTCCCACTCTACCTTTCAGTAGCATGGGACAGCTCTTCTCTAGGAACAATATACCAGAACTCCTTGTGGGAAGGGTGCTGAGGTCACCCGTGGGCATCGAGGAAATTGAAATGAAAGCCTAAATGGCCTGGAGCACCCATGCCTTGACCATCAATCATTCTGTCTCCCAAGAGAATCATTCTTTTCCTTCCTCCCTCCTCTCTGATTCATCCTTGGCTCTTCCTCTTTCTCACCAGGCAGGTGGGGTAACCATACCTAGGAAGGAAGGGCTGTTCCAAAGCACCTGAGAGCCTGAGCCATGAAGCAATCTAGCCTGGGTCTCAAAGAATGGGCAGGTACCATTCACACAAATACTTCATCATCTACTGCTTCGTCTAGTTCCCTGCTTCCTGCATGCCTCCCCAGGGAGACCGTGTGCTTCCTTATGGGTCTCTATCTGCTCCTCTCCCATCTCGTCTACTGTACGCCTCATCCTGGGGCTGGGCACATAGTATGCACCCCATACAAAACTGCTGAAATGAACTGACTATCAGGGTAAAGATAGCGATGGTGAAGAGCATTTGGATAATACTAGCGGGTGTGCATGTGACTGACATTACATCATACAGATGATCCTGGAAAGCATCTGGTCCTATCTGGTTGACCCCAGATAAACAGGCAGGTGAATTTCTGGGAAAGAGTTCTCAGGCTGGTGGTTCTCAGGCCATGTGTCTGCCTGCCTCACTCCTAAGGTTCTCACGAGAAGGCAGTAGCCCAGAGCTCTAGAGAAACGATGCAGAAAGCAGGACCTTATCACCAGCTGCTTCCTGACTGGGGAAAGCCCCGGTCTGAGGCTGTAGGCCCTGGATTCTCAACCCCCAGGGACTCCCTGTCAGATCAAGAGAGCCAGGGCAGGGCTTTGCCAGGCTCCTGCTGCTCCCTTTTTGGGGTCTGAAAGAAGCTTAATAATAAAAATAAAACCATGGTTTTAATATGAAAAGTTTAGGAAGAACGCTTTTTTTTTCCTCCCCAAATCCATGGTCCATGTTATATCAATCTCAGCCATGTTTGCTCCCTTTTCTGTGATTACCTGTCCCAGAGAGGGCAGCAACAGGATGGACTAGATATAAAACAAAATGCAAATAATGCTTATTTGTAGAGTCCTTGAAAATTTACAAAGGGCTTTTTT